CACGGACCGCAGCCGCACGGACCGCAGCCGCACGGACCGCAGCCGCAGGGACCGCAGCCGCAAAGACAAGGATTACACCCTTGAGGCCCGCAATTTGGACCGCAGGTGAAACCCAAACACGCAGGGCACGGCCCAGCACATGTCCCACACGGACTACAGCCACAAGGAAAACAACCGCATGGGCCACAGGTACATGGGAGACAGTTACAAGCAGGACAAGAATTACTTGGCACTTTGCCTGGATTGTTTGCAGCATTCGATACCTTATGTGGGCGTGGAGGACAAATGTCCTGAGCAGTATACAATGAGACGAATGGGTCATAAAGAGCGCAAGTACTAACCAAAGCTGACATACAGGAATTAAAGTTAAGTCTGTTCAATTGGGCTACACCACAGGGTTCCGAACTCGGAGAATTAAAAGCCCCTTCGCACTTTTTGGAAACACCTGCCGTACCAAAGTTGTTTAGCTTAACATCCAGCTCCACTTCAATAGAGTGATTGTCGTACATTGGCTTAGGAATCACATCTGAAACTGACTCTAATTTAAAGCCCGTTACGACTGGCAGAGATTTATCTCTCAATTGGTTTCCAACAGATGTCCCAAACCTCCACTTTGAAAGAGGAGTAGCGGAAGTAGCTGAGTTATTTGACACTGTTTCTAGATCTTGCGAAGACGACGCTTCTACGTTAGATTTATTTATCGTATTTCCAAATAATTTGCCAAGTTTTGGAAGAATGGCCATGTCATTAGTCGTCGGGGGAATATCGCGCGCATAAGAGTAGTACGAGCTACTTAGAATACTGGGGTTAGTACAGGGACGGCAGGGGTAGCAGCAACCTATGTGGAATGACCCGCGGGACCAGATGCCGTAAAGATTGTCGTAGCCGGGCAAATATTGGACGCATTTGGGGTCAACAGTACCACAAGGTGGAGGCAGACATCCGCAAGGATTGTCAGATCGACTATCACCTGGACAAAAGTTCTCACAGGAAGAACAAGAATAAGGCAAGCGTTTACAACTTCTAAAGCAGTTCGTGTTTTTGCCGTGGCCAGAATCAAAGACGGTGGATTTGGTCCAGTGTATGCGAGGTCGTGTTGCTTCATCGTTGACGCGTAGACATGGCGCGGATGTGGCGCGCGACAACCAGCGCGGGCAACTGCTACTGGTCGGCTGCGACTCGCTACTGGTCGGCTGCGACTCGGAGTGGTGGTTTTGGCACTCCGCTATCTTCACTACCGGCGGAATGCGAGCCAGTGTTTGCGTTACCAGCTCACATTGGGCCTTCTTCATGGTGCAAGTCGCTGAAAGGATGATCGTTCACTGTAATGACCAATCTCCTAACGTTCATCAGAAGACGTGAGGGATGAAAGCGACTAGAAATGTGATCGTCAAGCAACCACTCAAGTATTCATGTTAAGAGTTAAAATTTAAGTAGCTAATGGCTATGTGGTGTAGGATGCGTGTGACTTAATCCAGGAGAGCTAATAACAAACCACTCGAAAGACTATTTATGCACTTTATTCTTTTTTGTTGAAATAACATGTCACTATAATATAAATTGTTGTTGGACAATATACATATTGCCTACTCATTTCCTAAAACGAAGCTTTCGCACTTTTTTGCTGTTATTTTGCTGGTAAATGGAATACTGGACACCATTTGGCTTCGTAGATTCGCAGTTCCCACGCGTCGTTGGAATGAGATCGATTGTGATAAATACTTAGTCCTTGGTTCTGTAGGCGGACATACAGGCATTTCATAAGCATTGCCAAGCTTTTCCACTAATAAAGGGCTTTCTTCCGATTTTCGGGTCGAAAAGTGACGTACTGAAGTATTTTTGATAGATGGATTGGTTTTCTCGTTTGATTTCGATAAATTGCATCCATGTTTTAAACTGCAATTTGATAAGTTGGATTCTGGGATTGGATTCGCGGAGTTATTTTTACAGCAATCATTGCCATGAGAATGATCCAATTGCGCAGAACGTTTGCGAACAGCCCTGCATGCTGCACAGAAGCAAATGCTATCCGAAATGATTTTTTTTATTAAATTCGGATTTTGCGGCACGGCTTTTGCGGAGCTTAAATTTGTAGCTTTACGTCGAGGGCCACTGGTCATGGATTCGCTTTTCGCAGCCGTGCCTGGAGGGGGAATATAAAACAAACACGAAGAACTGTTAGGACTCAAACATGCGCAGTAACACGGGCCGCACGGGCCGCACCCGCCGCAACAAGGGCCGGACCCGCCGCAACAAGGGCCGCACCCGCCGCAACAAGGGCCGCACCCGCCGCAACAAGGGCCGCACCCACCGCAACATGGACCACATCCGCAACACGGTCCGCAACCACACAAACCAGGATTGCACCCGCAGGGAGGGCAACTTGGGCCAAAAGCGAAACCAAGGCAAGATGGGCACGACCCTTGAACTAACGCAGGGCCACTGGGGCCCATGCACGGTCCGCACGGGCTGCCAACATTACAAGGGCCACAAGGTGCAACACATCCGCAGCTTCGGAAGCCAGGCGGTGAGTAGCCGCCAGGCCATGGGCAGGCCCCGCAGGTTCCACCACAACAACCGCCGCAACAAGCACCGCAACAACCACCGCAACAAGTGCCGCAACAACCACTGCAACATGGCCCACAAGGTCCGCATCCGCAACAACTTGCAGAATTGGTTAGTAGATTAAATGGGAAGTGAACAATACAAGGATTGCTTCTAGCTGGTTGCTTAAAGATTGTTGGTGCATGGGAACCAACATTTTGCAACCAACATTGGTGTTGCCAAATTTGGGCAGGTGACGATTGCATGCTAGGAAACTTCAAATGAGTGCTGTCCCACGGGCTGTGTGTAAAAGAATCTGCATTTGATGAAGCGACTGCGTCAGTAGCTTGTTTTACTGTCTGTTTGGTAGAGGAGAGGTTATTGGAAAGGACGAAAGGAAACGGTTCCGCTGTTGCAGCAGAAACTTGTTTCTTAGCCCTTATAAAGATAGGATTATCCGAGAAGCTAGCAACAGAGTAAGGAAGACGGACAAGGGCTGGCAAAGGTTTTTTCGTATATGAAGAGCAGGTCGAAGAAGAAAACCTTTTATACGTATGATACAGCCAAGGGTAGTTCAGTTTGTCATCCCTCGGTGTCCAGCAGACAGATTTAGACTTCGCGATGTGATGGCAAGGACCGACACGGACTTCTTGGCTCATGCGTAGACAGGGGACAGATGCGGCGCGCAGCAACAGGCCATAACTTCTTGTTTGAGGGGACTTCGAACTGGTGCGGTTCTGTACCTCCAACATCCTGACCGCCAACATATGAAGAGCCGGTTTTAGAGTTGCCAGCTCACTAAAGGCATTCTTCGTGATGTCATTTGCTGAAAGGATGATTGTTCACTGTAATGAAAAATCTAACATTTCTTTTGTGCAATTAACAACGAAATGAAACGCAGTTTTTAATTTTACAGTTTTTATTTCGTTATCCAAGACAAAAATCCAAAAGCTGCCGTTGCCGAAATTATCATTAATTACGTAGGTAATAAGCTATTTCATAAATTAGGTAGATAATACGATAGTTAGGTGTAGTTAGTTTATTATCCACCTAATTCACTTTACATTTTGTTCTCCTTGTGCTTGAATTTAAAATCGACGGGTTCGGGATAAGGGTTTCTGTACTTTGGCACAGAGGTAATGTCGAATGCCCCAGGGCGAATGGTCGGACGGTCCCGCTCCTCAGCGGTGGGCACATGCCGCGGTTGCAACTGTGGCGGGCAAGACTCTGCCCCCGCTTGCTTAGGGAGTGCTGCACAAAACTTGTAAGGTTTCTCATGGTGTTCAAGCGGGGTAGGCCGCCTCTTTGGATTAGAAGTCGTGTTGTAGGTACGCGCTTTCGTGCCCGGACAGCTTGTCGTGGCCTTAGCGATAGGTTTAACATTCTTACTTAAAGTAGGCATCTTGTCGAGCGGGCTACTACCACAGCAAACTTTGCCCGGCACGGCGGTCGTACTGAATGGGAAGAATTTCGAACCGGCGGCAGATTGATCATCGCCTGGAGCGACGTGAGTGGCTTGAGCGCACTGTTGTGGCATGAAGGGTGGCGCACCCGGCATTTGCCATGGGTACTGCGGCGTTTGTTGAGGCATTTGCGGCATTTGTGGAAACGGGAAAGGCGATTGTGGCATTTGGGGCGACTGTGGCATTGACGGTTTTTGTGGCATTTGCTGAGTCACGCAATCTTTTTTAGTATTTTTCGCGAGGGTACTAGAGAGAGCAGTTGTCACCGATGCTGCTCCCATACCGCTCATCAGCGCACCAGGAACAAGACAACATTTAGGGCACGGGCACGGGCATGGGCCTGGGCACGGGCAACCGCCGCACGGACCCACGGGGCAGCAGCAGCCCGACACATGGTATGGTCCACAGAACCAGAAGCCGTATGGATAATAGTAGTAGCCCGTCATGTACTGGATGCACTTCGGTGGAGTGTTGCAAGGTGGAGGGAGGCAGTTGCAGCCACAACAATTGCCGCAAGGTCCGCAGGGGAAGGGGCAGGGGCACTTACACGCCGCCGCTATTGTACCCGCGATGTTTGCCGAGGGTTTGTTAGAGCAACCGGCGGAAGAGGATTTGACTTCGTCACAAACTGGCTTAGTTCTGCAGGGACTGTAGTGTCGAAGCGGCACGTAGACTTTGGCGCGCGGGACGAGGTTGGGGCACGACATGCTGCAGCGCAACGAAGTCTTGCGCGGGCGGCCGCGATGACTGACCGCCAGCAACCGTTTCTCTCCTCCAATCTTCAAGTACCTCATCAGGATGGCCCTCTGCAAGCTTCGACGGGGAACGGCCGTGGCTGCAAAGGTTATGTCACGCTATTCACCTCGATTAAAACCAGTCGTTATAGATGAAACCTAAATCCTAAGTTCGCCTAACAGTTAACATCTAAGAGTTCAACGTATCGACAAATAAAACAACCAAATCTCTCGAGACAGTTTATTGCTTCAAAAATGGACATCGGCTATATTGAAATATGCCTAGAAATAATATTAACGCATATGTTATATATCAAAAATGTAAAGTAGTCATGGGCTCATTTTGACTACACCAGTGAGTTTCTCATCCTTGGGAACTTCTACGTTTGTAGCCATGTTAGTCATGACCTGGGCGTTCACTGCGGAGCCGCAGACGGGGCATTCGCCTTCGCACTTCTTTGGAGGGCACTTAGGGGGGCAGGGGCATGGGCAGGGGCAGCATGGGCCGCATGGCCCGCACGGTCCGCATGGTCCACACGGTCCGCATGGGCAAGGACAGCAGGGACCGCAAGGTCCGCAAGGTCCGCAAGGTCCACAAGGTCCACACGGTCCACATGGGCAAGGGCCGCAAGGGCCGCATGGGCCGCAGGGGCCGCAGGGGCCGCAGGGGCCGCAGGGCCCGCAGGGGCCACATGGTCCGCACGGGCAGCGACAGGGCCCGCACGGACCACAAGGTCCACAAGGGCCGCACGGCCCACACGGGCATGGGCACGGGCAGGGGCAGCGGCACGGTGAGCAGCAGGGACCGCACGGGCCACACGGACAGCAGGGTCCACAAGGGCAACACGGTGCGCCGTCTTTTTTTTCAGCAAACGGCCGCACACCGGTGTCGCCACACGCGAGGAAGGGAAATCGGCCCGACGAAAATGGTCCGAGACCGCGTCCGCCTGCAAAGGACATCTAAGCTTAATACTAGGCGAGAAGACCGCTAGCAAGCAGATCCATGCTATCCAGAAGAACGATGGTTTCTCGCCGTGTATTAATGCCTGGAGGTCCTTTCGGCCAACTGTGCGTTCTCCGGAATAACAGGCATCTCACTAGCGGCACAGGTTTAAAACGCTGCCAAGAGGCAACAAAATCAAGTTTCATCTGTTGGTTTTGAGATGGGGGCGCGTCCCTAAAAACCAGTCTCAAAACCAATGAACCTCTCAATTCTAAAGCGTTGTCAGAAGTCACAGGGCAAACGACACCGTCATAAGGATCGAAGACGTTTCGATAAGAAATTTTGATTTAATATAATTATCTCGATGTAATCAGAAAATGCTGACGAACGATACCAGATACGGAAGAACACGAACAAAACATGACAAGCTGCAACTGCGTACTGACAACGCAAGGCCACACATTTTCGTACAAAAAAAGTGTCATTTCAAATTTTCTACACAAGTGTGGCCCACCGTACCACACGACGCTGACAGCCTACCTATCAATGGCAATTTGCTCAATTTGCAATAAAAGCTCCCGCGTAATTTTATGACGGTCACGTCCTTCATGTTACGCGTACCTCAAGGTTTTTTTCACTTCGACACCATTTTGTTTTTATACAAAGATTGCTCACGAATCGCAAACGATTACCATTCTACTAGCTATTCTACCACTTACCTGCTTTTTTAGGGTATAATCCGACCGAAATATGCGGGACACGTACCCCTCTCAGTCTAGCGTTACCACGTCATCACCCGCTTAGTATTATCAGTAACAAATAAACCTTATGCACATCTTTCGTCGTTATTTCGGTCGGATTGTACTTTCTAAATAAACTAACGTACTAAAATTTTCATAAAGAACAATCGCGAAAACAATTCCAAGAATTGTTTTTTCTAAAAGTCCGGAAATTTCGCTACACAAGTAACTACTTTTTTAAAGCAACGCTGGTATACTTACATAGCACAGTCGGACTACGTTTTTGCGCTGTTGTAGCAACGGGGCGACCTTTGATACATTTTAGGAAGGATACATTTCTTGGCAGAACCGCTTTCCTCAAAACTAAAGCCATGTTCACGAAGAGTTTTTAGTTTTTTAGTTTCGAATACTTCGCCAGCCTATAAACTTGAAATTTTGATTTTTTTTCTTTGTGTAATTTTGCTCAATGTTATGTCATTGTAGGAGCGTGACCAAAGATTTGTGAGCGGAAAACAAAAGACTGCTAAGTACCGGATTCCAGATTCAATTTTTGAATTTAGTCTTCTCTTTTTAGATTTTTTCAGCCTACCTTTGCATGAAAGAAGATTCTGCTTCTCCGTAGAGCAGTTTTTGCACAAATATACATGATTCTCGCTCAAAAATGTTCGATGCTTTTCTAATACTTCTTTTTTGTTTAACTGCTTGGTTATACAAGGTGCATAATAAACCACCATACAATACATAAGTACAGACGGCAGCACAACATCATCATTATCACAACGGATCTCGTTCCTTTGCACTGGAGTTGAATTTTTTTATTATACTCCAATTATACTCCAATTCGTCGTCTTTAACCGCTAGATGGCAGCACACTGATTGAGATATCAATACAATTTCAAAACGTAACTTGCAATAATAGACATAGATGGTAATGAACTTTCAACGCTTGCCAACAGGGTAAAGTTTATGTTATAAACAATCCAGGATTTGTTATTACTTTTTAAATTTGAAACTACGATTTTGTAGTGTTTTTAAAATTAAGAATGTGTGAGTTTGGTAACAGCGGTTCTGATAGTAATCCAGCATTTTAAGGTTTTAGGAGATGAGGTGAGAGGTTTACCATGAGCTTTTCGATGAAGAAAACACATCGAGATAAAACCTGCACGTCGAAGAAGGTTCACAAACCTCGGAAAACGTGTGAAAAACTAAACCCTCGCCTGGATTGAAGATGATGATGAACACTTCAGATGCACTGCAGAATCGGATGAACGCCATCAGTATCCTGAAGACATAATTATAATGCACCCGAAGGGCATCAACAACCCTCTGCGTATAGTCGATTTGTCTAGTTATGGTCGCTCTTTCTACCCTTTAATTCGGAAATGCAGGACTGTATTTTGACAAACTTACACAGCAAAAAAAATCCTATGCCACTGAAGCACTTTTTTCCAGCACCACATTTTCCACTAATTTTTTTCTTACCTCTTCCTATGCTATTATATTATCTGCCTATGTGGCCGAACGGTTACTATACTAGTCTGCCACGCAGAAATCTCGGGTTAGATTCCTGGGCCGGGAGAAATATTTATATGGCCTACATTATATCTCGTGGGTTAATTTGTGGTCGTCTATGCATGTGTCCATGGCACCCGCGATACAGGGTTTTCTTAGAGCGGGGCTATGGTGTGTGCCTTATTATTATTACGTTATTATGTTACCCAGTACCCATTCTTGTATGTCCCCCTACTGAGCACAGGTCTCGTTGAAATTGCACCCTGTATAAAGTAATGATGTAAAAAAAAATGAAAGAGAATTTATTGCTGTTTATTGTATTCTTAGAGGATGGATGTATTGTACATATACATTCGACGTTTATCATATGTTACAACGGATTGGTTCACTGTTTTGGTTCATCGATATTTTTTAATAAAAACATCGAATCATAGAAAAGATAAAATCTGGCTTTATTTCTAATTTGATATTGTAAGTCATTTAGTGTCAGTTTTATTTATATTTATAATCCTCTATTTCATTCTTCTGTGAATGAATAATTGAGTATGTATCGATCTTATTTGTCAATTTGATCTAATTGCGAAAAAACATTCCTGGAAGGAATTATTCTTGAGTGAAAACATTTCTATTAATTTGCAGTTTTTTTCACCTATAAATGTATGTCTTACCGATACAATACAATATTTTTTTCAAAGGTCCTTACTTCTCTTGATAACACACAATATCAAAAAATTTAAAGTCACTACAGCGACAGCACCACTCTATTGGTATAGTGTTACTCTGCATTCACTATTAAGCTAAGAAAAACAAAAAAATATTCTATGTTGAAAAACCGATGTTAAGCGATGCATCGAAAAATATCGACGCAAGCTTTCGAAGTTTTACAGCGAATGAAGACATCGATGTATTTTTTAAGTGGACACCTCTAGCACTGTTAATCTCCATACTACGATCGTAACTCTGTAGGTCTAAATCTCTGTAGGTCTTATATCTAGATGGCGCAGATCAATAGCCATCGTATAAAGGTCCGCTGGTTCGTTCCGTGGCTTAGTTGGTATAGCGTCTGCCACGGTATGCTAGAAGACGTCGGTTCGAATCCGGCCGGATCGAAGGAATTTTTTGTGAGTGTTCGATCTTTGTATTAATATTTATAATAAGAATGATGTTCGGAGTTATAATAACACTAAAATAAATTAACAACTAGCACAACAAGCTAATATAATAAAATATTACATAACCCTGTGTCACGAGTGCCATGGACACACATACACAACCACAAATTTCACCCAAACTCACGAGAGAAATAAATGTAGGCCATGCAAATATTTCTCCCGGCCCGGAAATCGAACCTGGGACCTCCGCGTGGCAGTCCAAAATGGTAACCGTATGATACTGGTGGCGCGACTCCAGGAACCCTAAAAAAGCGTATATTAACCCAGTAGCATTCCAGTTGTCTCTATGCCAGTACAATTTTCATTGTTAAACACGTTTCTTCCACCAGAATCCCCTAGCCCAAACCCCAGGGGATCCTTGTGATCGTACTTCATCAGAATCCCCCGAACGTGGATACATACATACTATGGTACCTTAAAACAACATGGTAGTACGGTACCTAGGGGCTTAAAAACACCCGCCACCCTACTAGTGGTACGTTTAGTGGTACAATAGTTTCTTTCATACACACATTTCAGCAAAACTACTCAGGGAAACTTTGTTTTCTGGTCCATATTGCTGCTTTGAATTACTGCCACCATATCTATTGCTGCCGCCAAGAATAAGGGTAAAGCTACAGGTACATGGTACACTAAAATAAAATAAAAACCATTTTATTTAAAAAATAAATATATTTAAAGTAAGTACTGCTAGCGTTTCAACTTTAATATTTTAAACTAATAATATAAATTAAAAATAATTATAACTAATCCTTTATACTACCACAACATAGGGCACGAGGCGAAGCTAGATTTTAGGCTGTAAACGCCCAATTACGTTAAAGACTTTTCTTCGCCGTGAAGCAAAATAACTAAAGTCCAATTCGCAATAAATATTCAGGCACAGACTTACGCCAACCTCACTCGTGCACTATAAGGACGCTCCCTCGCCGAGAACATTCGCCTGTAATGTAACATTCAAGATTCGTTTGCGAACATTGCATTACAAATCACCCCCTTCACCGACGAGCATTCGCCTGTAATGTAACATCCAAGATTTGATTAGGCTGCAATTCCACCAGGGATGTGCGAGGCGTGAGTGCCTCTGACTGCCAGCGAGTGCCTTTGAGTGCCTTCGAGTGCCTTTGAGTGCCAGCGCATGCCTTTGAGTATTTTTGAGTGACTGTGAGTGCCTATGAGTGCCTTTGAGTGCTTTTTAGTGCCTATGAGTGCCTTTTAGTGCTTTTGAATGCTTATGAGTGCCTTTTAGTGCTTTTGAATGCTTTTGAGTGCTTGCCACTTCACACTCGCGGGCATTAGCGGGCATTCAAAGGCACTCAATGGCACTCGCCGGCACTCAAAGGCACTCGCGGGCACTCAAAGGCACTAGCGAGAGTAAAGACTTGAAAACACTTCCACTATATCTGGTGGAGTCGCAGCCTTACAATCTGGACATATTGTTACAGTACAGGGGAATGCTCACGATGAAAAAGGCTATCGAATGCTCGGCTCTCCTCCCTCACTGACTGTAATACTTTTGAACGTTACATTACAAGCAAATGTTCGCGGTGAAGGGGCGCCCTAATACAATAATGAATTGATTATTTTTTTTATTTCACCACGGAATAACAAATTGTGGTAATGTGAAGTGGGTGTTGGCTTTAGCCATTGTTATGATATATCTATCATAACCAACCTTTGTTGTGTATCAACGCTCTCTTAAGCCGAACGTGTGGGTAAACCAAAAATATTTTTAGTTAATTATTGTTCTGTTTTGTGCTGTCAGTTAGATTTTGTAGGCTAATATAGCTTAGGTATTGTCGATTTTATATGAAAATTACGTATACTCCGTTTATTTAACTTTTGACCTAAGCATGCCTCCGAAGTTCCATAATTATTGACATACAACCATAGACAAACAAATGCAATACTTCCTGGACTCTTTTATTTTTAATCGGAAACGCAAAAGTTAAATAAATGGTTGGGGATTCGCTCTGGACCTTTTGGAGGGAAAAGTGTCGTTTTTATTTTGACTTTCAATTATTTTGTGAAATCTAGTTTAAAGTGGAATAGGATAGTGCTATTGTGCCTTAACCGAAGATTAAAACGCGAAATTATACGAATCTCCAACTAAAATACCCGTATCGGCCCGTTTTAAGGAATCCCGAGTCAATCCAAGCACGCCGCCTCAAATTGCCTATCCTCTTTGTGGTGGCCATATTTACAGAAACATAATTCAACTTCGTGTACCAAAAAAGAATAATGTACCAGGACTTGGCTGTATGGTGTAAAACCTTTGCCTTTTCCTTTATGGAAAGAAGAAAAAAAAAATGGTTGGACCGGAGTATAACAAGCCACTAATAAATAAAGAAGAAGACCGGAGTATAGTAAATATTAAGTAATCTGTGACATAGGCCGCGCCTTTGAAGTTACCGACCAGTGACGGGTCTGTCTATCACGGCGCGTTTCCAAGAAACGTGCGACCCCGGCCGCGAAACGGCATGGCCGCTTTTAAGCTGGATTCCCCACGACACGTGATTTCACGCGTTGCCTATACGGACGTCCGCCTAGGCTCAGTAAATGTTGCGAGAAAACAAGTCATGTGATCACCTTAGGCCTAGCACACCTATTCGCGCCGAAAGAATCGACAGCGCCGAAAGTATAACTATCATCAATTTGGTGCGAACTCACAGAAAGACTTTATTTGCAGTGCATGCTACACGATCAAAGATAAGTGAGTTGGCCCCACTCCCAAGAGCGCTTAAATATCTTAACCAGATGCTTCTCTTTGACTCCTCATTGGATATATTTACATGCTCGGAGCATGGATTCGTGGTTTTCGCGGGACGGTATCTTGAAACTTTGACCGGAGACAGCAGTATTGTGTAACTTGAGATAAATTGACTCATTGGTAATGATACTTTGTTCCATTTTACAGTAAAATAAATAGGATAATAATAATGTTATTGCAATGTAATTGATTCTATATAGGTAATTATTCAATTTTGTTTAATTTATTAGTTCATTGTGTTTTTTTAATTCTATTATTTTTGTATAAATATTTAAATACCACCTATTTTTCTACTTGCTATTGCGTTTGGATATCTATCTGTAAGCAATATGTAAATAAATAAATAAATAAATAAATCAACAACATACATTTTACGTCTCACAGTTGGGCACGAGTCTCCTCTTAGGCGAGGTAAAGGCCATAGTTCGCCACGCTGACCCAATGGGGGTTGGGAAATTCACGCGTAATACTAAGTTGACGGGACCAGACCGCCATTCCATAACAGGCACTGCCAGGTAAGTACTGCCACCTTACCTATTTCTGCCGCCAAGCAGTAATATCATCGTTACTGTATTTCGGTTTTGAAGGGTAAGGGTGCTGGTGAAATTACAGGCACATGGGACTTGTCAACTTATGTCTGAGGATGACGGGCGCACGACCATCAGGCGCACGAATTATTCGTCCCGTCACTAGATATTATAAAAAAAACTGGAATAATAACGCATAGAATGATAGTTTCATATCAAACGAACTGTCACAAGTGAGGCAAAAATCAAATTCATGTAGGCTAGTTTTAGTAGTAGGTTAATTTTCGGTTTTAGTGAATATTTATATAAAAATACTAGTTGAAACGCGTTACTTCCTTGTAGAATGTGACGTTAGTATCTATTTTATGTTTGTCTGACGTATTTTTACACTCATCTACCGCACATTTCGTCATTTTTAGCTAAAATTCTGGAGCTGTTCGCGGTGCAAGTTGACCTTGAGCACTGAAGGCCCGCCTGCTCGTGTAGGCCCATTGGGCGCGCTTCAATTTGCCTCACTTAGCGTGTGCGGACTAGGTTTCTGTGCGTTATTATTCTAAGGTGGCAACATAGTAATTGATTAGGTAGAGAATACATCCGCACCGTCCGCGCCAAATCTGATGACATGGTCCGAATTCATCTGGGATTCGGTGCGGCTAGATAGAAAATTCGATTCTTTCGGCACTTTGGGCGTCGACAAGTATGCGATAATCTTAGAACATCTTGTTTATATAAATCACACAAACGCTTACTTAGTTTGCCAAAGTTTACTTGCGGTGACACTCGAACTTGGTTTTTAGCCAAAAGGTAGTTGGTTTGACGGTGAGCGCGAATTGTCAGATTAAAACTCAAGATCTTCCGGCGAGAGTCGGATCCTGCGTGCGGGTAGTTCCCAAATTTTCACAGTGCCATCCGCATCGCCAGCCGCGATCCGCGTTGCGCTGTTGACATAATACCTATCTTTACATACAGGGTCACTTTTGTATGTTACACACATCGAATATAACCAGAAATAGAGACGAAATAAAAATCGTCCATCCCTGGCAACTCATCAAGTAAATGGGCCTTACATCACTTTTAAACATCAACTCTCGTCTGCGCTGAAATCACAAATTACAAAACTGAAATAGTACATCGCCAACATCGACTATATAACCAGAAGTAGAGACGAAATGTCATATAATTTGTTTGAAAACTATTCTGCCATATCATTACTGTGACAACTGCGCTCCGATTGGCTGGCTCGAGTTCGAAACAATTGACGGGTGTCGTCAACTGTTTCACTTCAAATCGACCAGTTAACTTGAGCTTTGCTATAATGGACGAAAATTGCAAAATTACATATTTAATATTTAATTACCGATGAAATGTGATTCCGTTTGTTTTGTAATTAGATGTTTTGCTGTTTTTCCTACACCACCGAATAGAACAGCACGGCATTGTTAGAGATATTATTTTTATTACATTGACTTACAAATAAATGGACGACGGGTCGAATACAAAAACCACGAAAAAAATGTCCCAAGTCAACCTATTTAAACGTAGTGACATGTAAAGGAATAAGAAAAAGCTATAACGTTGAATTTAAATTGTAACGTAATCGCAGTACTGTCTAATTTTGCTGTCTAATTTTGCTTCGCTGTCAGTCGAACAAACGAAGACTAAAGTGTGAATGACGTATACGATTTTAACGCCCTATAAGTTCGGACACTTTTTAGCGGGGATGCGACGTCCATATAATTGTAAGTCAATGCTTTATTACAATAAATACAGAATATTTTTTGGAATATACGGAAACGTACACACAGGTCAGTAGTTGGCCTGTCTATATTTCAGTGCAAACGAGAGTTTATATTTATAAGAGCTGTATCGCTAATGTGTTACCAGGAATATATGGCCCTTATTTCGTCTCTATTTCTGGTTATATACTCGATGATCGCCAACAACTAACCTAGGGGGCTGTTCCATTCAATGGTGTGGGAAAAACAGCAAAAAATATTTATTACAAAACAAACGGAATCACATTTCATCCGTAATTAAATATTAAATATGTAATTTTGCAATTTTTGTCCATTACAGGAACGCTTAAGTTAGAAGTGGTCAAATTCGAGCTGGGCAATCGGAGCGCAGTTATCACTGTAATGATTTGGCAGAATAGTTTTCAAACAAATGAATAGCAGACTGTACAACAAGTGCATAAAATGCGTCGTCTTACTCGAGATGAGTATATCGACCCGAGCCGCAGGCGAGGGTGACTATGTACTTAAGTCGAAGTTAAAATGGGTTTCAAGAACTCTACTTTTCACTTCGATTGCGAGGAAATTAAACAGCAATATTCCATTGAATGTAAAATTACAACAATTAGACATTTTTTCTGAGTGTTCGATCTTTGTATTAATAATTATAACAAACTAGTGGAGTAATTTAAAAAAAAAAATTGAATATCAATTCAATAAAAATTTAATTAATACAGTGAATAGCGACATCTCTCGCCAGGACTGGTAGCTGTAAAGGTACTAACTGGGTGATAAATCTGTCATAGATTTCTCATAGATGGCGCTACGACTAAAAAGTCGTTGAAAAACCAAATACAAAGACACGACACAAGCACATAGAAAAATTCGTGAGGTCCGTTGGTTCGTTCCGTGGCTTAGTTGGTATAGCGTCTGGCACGGTATGCAAGAAGACGTCGGTTCGAATCCGACCGGATCGAAGGAATTTTTTCTGAGTGTTTTTTCTGAGTGTTCGATCTTTGTATTAATAATTATAACAAACTAGTGGAGTAATTTCACAAAAAAAAAATTGAATATCAATTCAATAAAAATTTAATTAATTAGACATATTTAATGTGATGGTTTTTTTTTATTTCATGCACTAGAGCATAAAAACCGTAAAAATATTTTATGGTGCCTACACTCAGCTTATATACGAACTTTAAGAGCACGAGAAGCGAAAATTATATCTCGCTTCTATTATATACTCGATGGTTACACAAGACAGAGCAACAATATCTGTCCTATTTCAAAATATCCTCGGGTATACCTATTTCTGCCAAGCAGTAAGCGAGTATTACTCCGTTCCGGTTTTGAAGGGTACTGGTGAAATTACAGGCACATGGGACTTGTCAACTTATGTCTCAGGGTGACGGGCGCACTGGCAGTCCTCCGATCTTTGCGGTTTAAAGCTCCGAGTGACACTGCAACTGTTATGAACAAGCGTGTCGCTGACCACCAGGCACATGACTTGTTCGTCCCGTCACTTGGTATTATAAAGGAATTTTGAGAAAGCATTTAATTATTTCATTTGATTCAAGCACTTTAACCAACCACAGACGACTCGATACCTTTTCATCTCGTACACAGCACATTCGCATAGATTCTTTTATTGTTAAATATATAAAATCTGTTTTTAAGCTGTAATATAAAGTTTGCTATAAAATTTGCCCAAAAAGATGTCTGAAATACAGGTACACATTTATTTAATTTAGGCATAGCAATTACACATTAGGATCTAATACTAAAATGTATAGCTTTACTATGAAGAATGTATAATTTAGTTTATTTTCTTAATGCTTATTTTAATACTATAATTGCTTTTATTTACATTTGTTCTCCTTGTATTAGATTAAGTTATATTGAATTTATTTTTTGTATTTCTTTTTATACATGACCCCACTCCACCGGAAAGTGGAATTCAAACGTGAAGGTACATAGTGCAGTGTTGATACAATCACTGTCCTAGCCACCCCCACACTGCCTGTCTTGCAAGATGCCTCTTCACGCCTCGTTTGAAGGACCCCAGGAAATACGTGCGCTGGAAGGGAGTATTTGTCAACTGTGCGACAGGGTGCGACCATTTAGTTCGCGATGGAATACGGCAAGTTGTAAAACGGTGACTACGGAGGCCAGGTCGCGTGTTTCGAAGCAGGAAAACGGGGAGGTTAAGGTTGAATATTTCTTCAGAGCACTCGCCATGGTGCATTCGATAAAAGGCGTTAAGCGATTTATTTATAGTATAAAATTACTCAGCACTACAGCAAAATAACAAGGCAGTGTGAAATTCATAAACAGACAATTTGTATTAATAATTCGCATCCTCTCACAAAACCTCAAACTTTCATAACATAAAGTCACCCATCCACTTGCAAAAACATTACAGTCCGGTGCAGATACAATAAGGGCATTAAGACAGTGCAGACCGCGAACAAGTGGAATTTACTGTGAGACATTGTGCGCACCGCCGGCACTGCCAGCAGATGAACGTGTGGCCGTGAATTAATTATTATTTAGCGGGGGGACGAACAGCGACGCCACATTTCTACGCAGTTGCAAAGGTTCAAGGTAGGATGAGACCTCTTCATCGCCGTTCTTATCTTATTATAATCACCAAGAAAACTAATGAAAACAACACCCACCTGCTTTGCGATATTGATAAAGCACAAACACTCTCTACTCCATGAAATCCGTCAATAGGCAAAGCCCGACCGCTGGATATGTTGTAGAGCTTCAGTTGGACCTGTTCAGGATTGGACAAGCCCAGAACCACCACGCAAGGGTTGTTTGGCAGCCAGCACATGCTTGACACTGGTACGTCGAGACAGAGAACCTGAAACATTTGTCAGAAACGTTACTTTCTAGCCGTTTTTGTCACAGAACCATAAATACAGTAAGGGCGCGTTCTCATTATGTCGAGACGACAGATAGTCGTGCAGTTCAAAGTGTCGTGGCTTGTACATTTAAATGACGTTGTTCACATATAGTAAAACACGATTAACTGTCGTTCACGAATGTTTTGACATTACGACGACAGATTGTCGTGATAATGGGAAGAGCTGGAGCGACATTGTCGTCCGACGATAAATAAAACCTCGCTTCAAGCAATTCTGTCGTGCAAACGGCAAGGCGGCTACCGTGAACCGATATATTATCGTCACATCTAGTGGAAACAGCTAGACACGACAGTCCATATAATAAACGTCCACGACACAGCCACGACAGATAGTCGTGATATGGGAACAGGTTAGACGGAACAAAGTCAAAGATTATTTATTCCATAGGTAAAATAAATTTACACTTGAAAACGTCATATTTAAGCTACTGCTCGTTCACTATGCTGACCTCCCTGAGAAGAACGAGCAAGAAACTCTAGGGATTGCTCTTTTCAAATAAACTTAAATGCTATGGAATACACTTTGAATCCAATTGGTGTGGATTCTGGAGCCATGTCGTCTTTCCATACATCTTTATCTAACACGTAGTCTTCAATTTTGTAATATGATTTTTCGATCAAAATATTTTTAATGTAGTTTTTAAACTTAGGAAATGATAAACTTAATATATGCTCCGGAATCTTATTGTAAAAACGTATACAGTTCCCCATAAAAGAGTTCTTTACCTTGGTTAAACGTAATCGTGGTACCATGAGTTTGGACTTAGCTCTAAGGTTAATATTATGGATATCTTCTTTCTTATTGAAATTATGTATATTTTTACGGGCATATAAAATATTTGAGTAAATGTACTGTGATGCCACAGTCATGATACCAGTCTCCTTAAACTTTTCTCTGAGAGATACCCGAGAGCCTAGACGGTACACAGAACGAATCGCTCGTGTTTGCAATACAAATATGGTTTGAATATCTGCCGCTTTAACAGTCTTCCAACGATAAATAAAACGTTACGACATAATGGGAACGCGCCCTAAGTGCTTAGTTGCGTGACACGTGCGCCAACAGTACGCGGAGTTCCACAAACTTGAGCTCAGTACGCCATTTTCGCTTTATACGTTTTATGGTCGAGTCAATTATCTCGCACACACCCTCAGTTAGTATAAGAATACATGTTTTGAGCGTTGAAATTTTCTTATCTTATATAAGCGGGCGGTGAGCCAAAAAAATTGGAAACCTATGTTATATACACAATCAACAGCTAAGTATACTCGCACCATTTTATTACGCCTACACTTTAAAATCTTACCTTCAAAGGACAAACTTGGTTAACATCGTACACTCGCAATTCAGAATCCATAGAAACGGAAGCAAACATCCCAGGTTTTTGAAAGCTGAACGCCAAATTCAGGACACAAGTAGGATGCCCTTCCAGCTCTTCGTAAACCGGATCCACCATATCATGGACAAAATCAGTCTTTATCTTGCAAAGCAACAACTTTCCGGACTTTGTTCCCACCACAAATATATCGTCTGCAACTTTCTCATCACTTGGACGCAAAGGACAGCTCTTAATAAAGTCGAAACAAGTAATATCAGGACTCGGGATCTTCTTAGAACCATTTATGTTATAGCAAATTACATTTTCAAATATTCGTAAGTTCGAGTTAACTTGCCATACGTTCATAGTGCCATCGCTACCTGCAGAAATTAAAATCTGATCAGATGCTCCACGTCGCTTTCCGGTCTTTGTAATCTGAGCTGTCAAAAATGTGTTCGCCAAAGATGGGTTCGCCCATTCCAAAGCAGATACCCGTCTGGACCCATGACAACCCGATGGGGAAGACAGTTGCATTCCATCTTCAAGCATAGAGTTCCTGAGATTGCATAAAACAACTTCCCCGGAAGTAGTCCCATAAGCAAGCAGAGCTGAGACAGAAGGGTGGTATTTGACAACCGTGATACAATTTTTCTCTGAAATATCCAGTGTGTGAACCAGTTTGTCTTGTTCAGATCTTTTTACTGTGAAAATTCGGATCAGGCCATCGTGCTGGCACCAGGTTTCGTGCTGTATCTGACCTACGGAAACCGCTAGCGAGTTTCCAGCGCTGCTCCAAGATAAGGCCAGTACCGACGCCTGAAACACAATCACATCAGACATCGTGTGGCTGGTGTTAAGCGACACACCTGTCAATAACAGTTGCAGTGCAATCAGATTTTAATCGCAAAGATCTAAGGGACACTGCCACTGCACCTGTCACCCTGAGGCACCCTAAACCGGAACGCATTACTGCTTGGCAGCAGATATAGGTAAGGTGGCAGTACTTCCTTGGACTAACTCTTCCACAAGGAGCTCTATTGCCATCGGAAGTGCTAAAAATGTGGATACAAAATCAGAATCTTACCTGATAATCTCCACCACCAAGGCCAGGCATGTCAATTTTAACTGGCAACTCTTGAAACAACTTCGAAACTATAATATCTTCATCTTCAGAGTCGGAAGAGTTATATAATAGCTCTAAGTCATTGCGATCAAGTTGCTCCATCATAGAAGGTACCACCTTTCGCAAGAAATCGTTTAAGCCCGGCGGCGGGTATTCCTTTAAAATGTCATCTTCTGAACCTTTGGATGGACAATCTCTATTACAATAATTTCAGTACACTGACGACGCGCGACAACGCTCGCATTAGTGCGCCCGGATCACAGTGGGGTCGGCGTCTGACGCCTCACTACGCCCAAAAAAAGAAGCGGCTGAGCGCGAATCCATATTTGCTTATCACAAATTGTATTATTATAATAATTATTTTGACGTTCTTAGGTTTTCGCGATTGTTACACATAGGAAATGAAACTATTTTTCCGGATTTAAATCGCGTATATTTGTTTTTTCAAACAAACCGACGTTTCGGGCCCTTTACAGGTCCCATGGTCACGGTTGACTGACCATGTCAACCGTGACGTGACGAAAAATAGTTTCATTTCCTATAACTATTTTGATGGTCTCATTTAAATTTGAAGAAAATATGCCACCTGTAATGTCCCTTTTACATTCAGCCCCTGCCGCTGCCCCTCGCGCTGCCGGCAATAATTCCCTAAATACTGCTGCAGAAGGATCGAGAGGAGTGTGTGTTTACATACTGCCCTACCACTCACTTCGCTTTCAAGTTTCGGCAATGGCAGACGTCGAAATAATTACAGCTGCCGCGCTGTCTCTTTTTGCGATACATAATTATGTTCGATATTTAAAAAGATATCGAATACAAAAAAAGAATGTTCGTCGTAGACGATGGTGGATGATATCTATTCATCGAAATAGAACTTTGTAAGTACCTAATTATCAACCTACCTACTTAACTAATTTTTTAATGCATATACTAATTCTAATCTCATTAAAATAATCTCATTGCTCCATTCGGACGGCATTTTCGATGATCTAAAGTATCTAAACGAACGTCTTTCTCCTCCAGGCGCTTGGCGAGTACTGAGCGTCGGAGCAGAATGTACGCACTGCCGCTCGCGCTGCCGATCCTTTTACCTCATTTACATTCAGCCGTAGTGAGCAGGGAAGTGGGCAGGACGAGTGTGTAAACGCGATACTTCTCATGCCACTGCCATCATTGCCACTCGCGCTGCCCGGCGCTCTCCAAAATGGCGGTTTTTTGTGCGTGTCGCTTACCATCAAACCATAAAAAGTATTGTAACTCCGCATAAACGTAGCAGCGCGGTTTGTACGTGTGCACAGCCGAGTTACACATTACTTAATCATAGTAAAAAAAAATCGAAAATACCTGCGCTATAATAACTAAAAAACTGAGGTCCCAGGTTGGATCTCCGGCCGGGTTAATGTAGAGACTATTTTTTTTATAATATCAAATGACGGGAAGAACAAGTCGTGTCAACTAAGCTACACACCTATCCATAACGCAAAGATCTTTGGGGCATTGCCACTGCGCTTGTCACTGCATGGGACATAAGTAGACAAGTCTTATGTGCTTGTAATTTCACCAGCACCGTTATACCCTTCAAAACCGAAACACAGTAATGGTCACATTACTGTTCGGTGGCAGAAATAGGTAAGGTGACAGTACTTCCCTATCTCATTCTCTAACTTTTCTATATTGTCTCTGGTCTGGGTGTTTGTGGTATTGTCGTAGTTTCCGCTTTCCATAACACAACACATAAGTTAGTTTAAATTTTTATTGAATTGATATTCAATTATTTTAATTATTAAATGCAAGGAATAGCGACATCTCTAGCCGTGTCTGGTAACTGTAAAGGTAACTAACCGGGTGACGAAATATAGATTTCTCATAGATGACGCTACGATTAAAAAGTCGATAATACAAAATACAAAGATACGACGCGAGCACATAGAAAAATTCGTGAGGTCCTCTGGTTCGTTCCGTTTTTCTCTAAGACAAGATAAATTAAATCAATGGACATTTTATTCTGTTTAGACCAACGATATAGCATTGTTAATACAATAGTGTATTAACTCAAAAAGTGTATTTTCTCAGATACGATGAAAAACGAATTACTCGCTTCCCGTAAAAGATCATTAAAATTTATGTATAGGTTATAGTTTACTACAGACACTTAAGCAATTTTCTACTTACATTTTTATGGAATTGATATTCAATTATATTTATGTGAAATTACTCCACTAGTTTGTTATAATTATTAATACAAAGATCGACACACAAACTGGTGGAGTAATTTCACATAAAAATAATTGAATATCAATTCAAGAAAAATTTAAATACAATTAATAACGACATCTCTAGCCGGGACTGGTAACTGTAAAGGTATCTAACTGGGTGACGAAATATCATAGATTTCTCATAGACGGCGCCACGGCCAAAAAAGTTTCCGGTCGTCCAGTTGTGAATCGCAATTACGCAACTCAGAAGAGACGCAGTTTCCAATCGGAAACGGCAATCAAAATCAAGCTACTAACACTAATCGGACATAGCGTGCAAATGCTCTCACATGATTAGGAGAGCGGAGTACTTTCCTGACCTCTTTCACAAAGAGATCTAATGCTGCCACTGCCACAAGCCGCACTCCTTCGTTACCCTACTTGTTAAACTATGCGTCAAAATTGTTTCATCTTCAAGTAACCTACATTTGAGAATGTTAATTTTTCTTTACATATAAAAATAAGTACACATTTGACCTCCATCTCACCTGATGGAAAGTGATGATGAGGTCGATGATGGAGCATGCACACCTAAATAACGCCTATTCACTCTCGCATTGAATAGGTCGAAGTTATAGCGTTCGGGGAACAAGTCCGGAGGCAGGGAATTCCACTCCATAGCCGCTCGCTATATAAATGTAGAAGCGAAATGCTTCGTACGAATGTTTTTAATAGGATCCACAAAATAGGGTAGAATCCCAGCCTACGTCTACTCCCTTGATTGAATAGAATAGAATAGAATATGTTTATTTGCCAGAATACAGTAATTACAAAGGTCTTAAGTAAAATTAGGTACATTGTATTCAACCTGCAAGCAGATGTGCAAATATTATTGGGATTCAATGTTTGTTTAGTCTCTATAGTTTCTAATTAATGTAATGAATTTGTCAATTCTAAGTATTCTTTATTACTATAGAAGCAATGTGTTAAAAGCCATTTTGTCAATTTTAATTTAAAAGTATGTCCTTGTAACAATTTAATTTCGTTTGGTAATTTATTGTTAATAATTAAACACATGTTGAAGCAGTTATTCTTATAAATTACTTTATGGCAACGAGGTTGGTATAAGAGATTCATAATTTTTGCTCTAGTTTGCCTTTGAATAACTTCTAGTGTGTTTTAAAATATTGAAAGAGAAAGGCGGAATTAAATCACGCCATTCCATTCAACAGTGTTAATGATATATCCTGTAGAATAAGGCAACTTTAAGGCTGTGTTCAAGGCTCTGCATCTTCGCCTTTACTAATTCCGAGTCACTTATAAGCCTCATGGGAATAATACCTCTCGCTAACTGTGATCGAGATCAAGATCATGGCTTACATTAGTAATGCTCTGCCACACAGGACGTAGCGGGACATTAATAATAATAATAATAATAACTTTATTTATAGTCATTACAAATACTATAAAAATAATTACATTAATATGTTTTAAGTAATTGATTGGTTGCTAACCAGCCAGGCAACATCCAGACCCCACAAAAGGGTTCAACCTGTGTTAGCGGATAGTACTGCTGCCACCACGGCGGGAAAACATAAATCTTAGTTGTAACAAACAAATGGCTTAAAAGTAAACTAAATAAAACTCTGTAGTCCCAAAACTAGTACAATAAGACTGTTCTTTTGGGACTAAGAAGAAAATAAAATGAAATTTAACAAAGAAACAACATTTAAAGAGTGCGGTTAATTAAGTTTTTAGATTAATCTATGCTGTGTAGTTGGCGGTGTGTATGTAAAAGTGGAGAGTGTGTGTTAAATGTGTTGTGAATGGTACTGATTCTATACATTACAAACATTCCGGGCCCGGGAATGTTTGTAATGTTCGAATTCATATGCATCCTGTTACATTTAAGCCGGGTGGCGGGGACAGGGTCCCAATACGCTATGATAACATGCGTTACAAACTTTTCTGCTATGCGCGGGCAGGGTACGGTATGGTAGTGTCAGCGGTGGCGATATGTCAGTGTCAGCTAGTGTCAGTAGCTTCCTATATCGTTTTGCACACATTCCTCGCCCACATCCCTCGCACACATTCCTTGCACACATCTCTCGCACACATTTCTCGCTAATTTGTAGGTATGTAAAAATACTTAGGTCAGCTAACCCTTTTCCATTGGAACTGCCCTAAGCGAGGCTAGGAAAATGAAGCAATCCTATTGGTGGATTTTTTCTCGCACACCGCCTCGCTACGTCGCACATCTCTGGTGGAAAGGCAGCCTTAGTCCGCCTCGCTTAGGGCAGCTCCAGTGGAATAGAGCTAGCGGAGCTAAGTATTTATACGTACAAAAAAGAAAAAGATGTGTGCGAGGAATGTGTGTGCAAGATACGCGAGTGAGGAATGTGGAAACTGCTGAAAAGAGTCCGCTACACATCCTCGGACAAATCAGATACCTCCTCGCACAGCTTTGGTGGAATCGCAGCCTTAGAGCCTACGCACACGCCGTATGTATCACGAACGCGCGTTTACGGCACTGTAAATGCGCGTCATCTGCGAGTATACGGGAACCGATTTATACGCGCGCAAACATCGAGTTTCAAGCAAGAAGCTTATGTACTCCACTAGAGTTTACACTTAGAATTTCAAGCAGTTGTTTCATTTCAAAAACTAAATGAAATTAACAAACAAAAATAAAGTTAAAACTATCTCTTACCAAAATGCGCGATACAAATACGAGCGACTACAGCGCGTCTGCGGCACGTATACGCGTGTCGTGGGCGCGTTTAAAATACGCCGTGTGCGTAGGCTCTTAGCGGGTTTGCATGTTGTAATTTTTGTACAACTCTTGAGTGTATTTTTATTAAGTTTTTAACGGTGCTTTTTTTTTAATGTTAGTAGAAAATGGAATGTGGTTGATTTTGAACGTCTTTCGCGCTGTCCTGCCGCGAAAAACGCGTGGGACTGCCGTGTGGCATGCTCCGGTATGCGTTCGCTTCCGGCAGCTCCCCGACCGCTTTTCCCGCTGTACCGCGTTTGCCTAATTACTTCTTACCTTCATCCGTAGTGCAGCCTGTGTTTTTTGTGAAGTTCGTCTGACACCCGGTACCAGATTCGACGAAATTCGTTTGCGTAGCCGAATTTGATTCCGCCCTTTTATTTTGGTTAACAGAGTCGAAGCCCACGGCTTCGCTATCATATCCGCTTAGGTACGACATTTTAACATATATTAATAGTTCGTTTTTAATTGTATTTATCAAACTCGACAGACCGTCTTCTTGTCTCTTTGAAAATAAATCACTTTTGTTTACATTTCGTCTTTTGTTTGGCGTTGCTATGGTTACGCGTCAACAAGGAATTAGCATAAGTGATCGATCAATTTTGTGTCCATTTCTAGTCTCTATAATCCATTTCCAGGCCTAAGCAAAGTCTTTGTATCCATTTCTAGTATTTTTATGCCATTTCCAGGCCTATGTAGTCTTCTTTTAAATTAAAGACTAGGCTGCACGGTCATAGTCCTTTGCACGCATAAGGAAAAAGAAAAAGCACCAACATTATGGTTGTAAACTTTAAGGTTGCAAATTAAACTTTCAAGTTTCCGAATATAGTTCCAGGTTTTTTAATTCTGATTTGTCTTAGTTTTGAAGCTCAACATGAAACTTAATTTATACAAATCAAATAATATAAGCTCAAAACCAACAACTTCAACCATAGACAAGAACATTCCCTGCAACTACAGATTCCAAACAAAACATTGTAGTACTTTTCTTTTAGTAGGTATTGAATTTTGTCAAAGAGTACCGCAGTACCGTGGACAGACGTGACAGTCTATACCAATTGGGAATGAGCTAGTCAGACAGATAATATTGGGGAATTAACGTAAATCCCCTGGCAAAGTTTGCTTTGACGCAGTGTCCTTTCGTTTACTAGTTATAATTATTATATTACTAAAAAGAAAAACAAATGAAATAAAAGAAAAAAATATTGATGTTATTACTTTTCCTTGCGGTAAGGCAAAGACCATGCAGCCTAGTCAAGTAGAAACATATCGTTAAGTCTTGTTTTATATTTTTTTAATTCATAATAATATGGTAACCTTAGGAACTGGTATATTATACATACTCTGTTATTGTGTAGTCAAAACACCATTGCTTTATTAATCTATGATTCATGTTTTGTCTTGTTTTAACACGCGTCATTACATGCTTGCAAAACGAGATGGATAGTGTGAAGCTTCGACTATCAAAATGAATGCACAAATTAATAAAAAATCACAACCTTACTTACCGAATGAAATTAATAATTTAAAACTTTGAATTTATGTTCACACAATTAGTCAAATAGCGAAAGGTGAGCAACATACCGATGTAAATTAATTTTCGAAGAGGACGCATCTGCATCCGCCATCTTGAAAATTTGACAACCAACAAAACGATGTGCAGCGTCTACGCCGCACATCATTGTACATAGATATCGCTGTGCAATAGCGTTGTAACTCAAAATATGTGAAATTCAATATATCGCACTACTAATATAATAGTGTATCTTAATACAAAGTTTATTATCTCAGAATCGACAAAAAACAAATTACTCGCTTCCCGTGACAGATAATTAAAATGTATGTGTAGGTTATAGTTTATTGTAGACAATTTCCTACTTGCCAAATACATTTAAAAATAATTTCCTGTTTTTTAATAAGGACTATTTTGGCCATAACTAGATCACATAAAACGTGTCTCATTTTAAGTAGATCTTTTGGTTATTTTTTACAATACTCTAACTACGGTTTTATTGGCGTGTAGAGAATCAAAATGTTACGTTCATTAGTGGTGTAATCTTGAATTTCACATATTTTGAGTAATAACACTATTTTAATAGCAGTGCGATATACCTTTACTGAACGTTTGATTGTCTACACGTCAATAAAACCGTCGTTAGAATATTGTAATAAATAACTAAAATATATCTATTTAACTCCCAATGAGTCACACTTTATGTGCTATAGTCATTGACTTACAATTATATGGACGTCGGGTCCGCGCTAAAAAATGTCCGCACTTGTAAGGCGCTAAAATCGTATACAGAGCGCGACACTCCGCTTTAGTCTTCATTTGTTCTACGGACAGCGCGATACTGCGATGACATTACAATTTAAACTTCGAATAGGTTGACTTGGGACATTTTTTTCGTGGTTTTTGTATTAGACCCGTCGTCCATTTATTTGTAAGTCAATGGCTATAGTACACTAAAATAATCCTTATTCATAAACGTGAAATATTTTTTCCATTTTATTTTTAAATATAATTGGCAAGCACAATTATTAATACAAAGATCGAACGCTCAAAAAAAAATTCCTTCGATCGGCCGGATTCGAACCGACGTCTTCTAGCATACCGTACCAGACGCTATACCAACTAAGCCACGGAACGAACCAGCGGACCTCACAAATTTTTCTATGTGCTTGCGTCGTACCTTTGTATTTGGTTTTTCAACGACTTTTTAGCCGTAGCGCCATCTATGAGAAATCTAGGATATTTCGTCACCCAATTAGATACCTTTACAGCTACCAGCCCCGGCTAGAGATGTCACTATTCATTGTATTTAAATTTTTATTGAATTGATATTCAATTATTTTTCTGAGTGTTCGATCTTTGTACTAACAATTATAACAAACTAGTGGAGTAATTTCACATAAAAATAATTGAATATCAATGCAATAAAAATGTAAGTAGAAAATTGTTTAAGTGTCTGTAATAAACTAAAACCTATACATAAATTTTAATGATCTTTCACGGGAAGCGAGCAATTCGTTTTTCATCGTATCTGAGAAAATACACTTTTTGAGTTAATACACTATTGTATTAACAATGCTATATCGTTGCTTTAAACAGATTAAAATATGCATTGATTTAATTTATTTTATGTCTCAGAGAAAATGGATCAATCATTAAAAAAGATGACCGTTTAGATCATTTAAATACATCTATATACCTTCGGATATTAAAAGAAACGATATTAAAAAAGTACAAAAATGTTTATTTATACCAAATGATGGACCAGTAACTCCTGCTAATCTCCTTACTTACAGATCGTGACTGTGAAAAAGGTAAAAACCCGTCGTATAAATAGATTTCGCTCACGAGTCTGGAAGTAGTTTATAATAATAATAATAATACTTGTTTCAGTTTGCCCCTTAGTTTACTGAAGTATCTAGTCCGAAATGACATTTTCCAGAAGTAACATTTGCTCGAATTTTCATAACCTCGAAAGTAATTTTGAGGGGAAAATGTTTTTTCTTTTTCTTTTTCGTTTTTTGTGTCTTTGCGGTAAACATCCAACATATCCTGAAAGAACAACGGTTTCGTTATAATTCGGTTTTCGGTGTAATGAAAATTCGAACAAACGTAATTTCGGAAAAAAAATTCGACTTTGTGATAGGTTACTGCTGCGATATGTGGTCAGAATACTACTATGTTAAATCAAAACAATCCAGCCGGCACTTTCTCGTTCCCCGGGATTCAGTTTGTTTAAAATTACACAAGAATTGACTATCGCTCTCCGTCTACGCTCTGGCCACATCCCATTGAATAGCTATGCATTCATGATGCGCACAGTTGATTCGCCAGTTTGTAACGAATATGGGATTGTGGAAGACGCTTATCACGTAACAATGGGTTGTAGCCGAGGCAAAGCGCAGCAACACCACCTCAAGATTAAAACGTACAATCCCGATAAGATTTATAGCATCCTGGCAGCTCCGACCTCTGAAGAAGCTGAACTGCTATATAAAGTAGTTAGATTAAGAAAGGTGTATATTAAGAGAGCCACTATGAGGGTGGCATTTGTAAAACCCTCCACGAGTAAATAAAAACTTTAAAAAAAACTTTATTGATAGCCATTACAAATATTATTTATCGGCAATACAAATTGAAAATTCGAGAAGCCTTATCTACCAGCTCACTTCGTTGCATAACCAGTTGGCTCGACAAAAATCGGAGCTAAAGAGCACGTCGCTTCAATAAAATAAAAAAATAAAATAGTCCAGGAAGTATTGCATTTTTTTTCTATTGTTATACATTGACTTACAATTATATGGACGACGGGTCTAATACAAAAACCAC